ATATATATATATATATATATATATATATATATATATATAATGTTTCTGTTCAGTGCCCTGAGATGACTTGTGTTGTGACTTGGTATTATAAAAATATATTGAATTGCACATGATTGTATCACACAGCATTGTATTTTATAGTACATGTATCCTGTAAAGTCTGCAGGACTGGTGGAAGTGGAAGCAGATTTGTTCTCTCCAGTTCTTGAAATGGTTTCTGTGAAGTATGACAGTGCAACATTTGCATAGCAGGAAATGAAACTGGATCTAAGAACAATGTGATTAGATGGTCAGAGAGATGAAACTTTTATCACGTAAACAAATATGATTTAAAGTGTTTTTAGTACATTACAAACCTTCATTATCTTTTTGTAAATTCAAACTCACCTCTCCTATAAGTTCCATGAATTTTATTCAGTTTTCTTCAGTTTGCTCTGTTTATTATACTTATCTTTTCAGCAGTACATTTAAACATTAATTCGCTTCCAACAACAAAACGGAGCCACTTTTATTTTGACAGCATGTCTGAGTCCCTCTCATAAATGATTCAAAGTACAGTTCCTCTACCTGCCTGTTTTTGTAAGAGTTGCTAAGCAACGGAAATGGTATCCTGGCCCTCAAAAAAAAACAATGTCCCAGTGCCCCCAGTATCCACATGCCAACACACAAAGACACACAACAACACACAACTTGAATGTCTGTGTTTTGCCTTTTGCAGGTCAGTGGATTCATTGAGGGGGGGGTCATGTCCAAACCTTCATCCAACGTTAAGGCCTTGCAGGTAAACATGAACGTGTGCTTCCTGTGTCATGTGCACCTCTATAATGGCAAGGGGGGAAATAACACAAAGAATAAGAACTTGACACAGAAGTTTCCACATTCAAATCTTTATTGTTAAAGGCAGATACAGAGTTCAGACTGTACATACACAGTACCAAGGCTTTTTCAGTGCAAAGTTCATAGCGAGGCAAACGTAGCAGAACTGTGTGTTGTAGGGACTTAGTGTGCATGTGCAGGTCAGAGAGGGCTCCATTCATTGTCTCGCTCCTCTTTGTGCTCATTTCTATGTCTAACCATGGGATGGGCATCAGTACAGGTTTAAAAACACCAGTAAACACAAGTTCCTTCATTCAACCTCCAACAGAGAGTGTATCAGTTTTTAACAAGAACAGCCGTACAAATTCACCTTATAAATACTTGATTAAAAATCAAAACAATAAAGCTTCTTAAACTAGTTTACTTTAAGATATCATGACAGCAGCTTTGCATATTAAATTGATCTTTAACAGTGTTGTTTCTTTAACACATTTTTCAAGGAATACTGAAGGTCCTACAGGTAGGGAGACGTCACCGTGTTGAGACATTTAGTTAGTCATTAAAATGATCTTATTAATTGTTAAATGCAAAATAAGACAAGGATAAAATTGACAAATAAAGTAATCAGTGCACTTACGATGTAAATATTTGCAATGACTCTAGACTTGCCTCTACTTTTACACTTACACTTTACACGTGATCTTAAAGCAGAACACCAGTTTGACTTTATGTTCATGTGTGCATGTTGTGAGGTGTTTTCAGGGTCTATATTTTATTCATAACTTCTTATTAGTAAAAAAAACAAATCTATAAGTAAAGAACAAAATACTTATATCATGGTCCATGGGTTGAGGCATGCTCAGTAATATTAAATTAATTTAAAAATCTTTTTGAGGGAACATACATATTTGCAAAGAGTAAGACCAGAATGAAGCAGAGGGTTTGTGGTTAATAATCAGGGTGTGCAGTTGGAGGCTCTGGGCTCGTTACTCGTTTACAAAGTCAAAGAAAGAAAGTGATTACGACAGATCCTGTCTTTAGATGAACATTGAACAATAAACAAAATTAGCTTAAAATAAATAAATAAATAATATAAAGGAAATCTAAAAAAGTTAAATCTGGTCCTCTGGACATTCAAAAAAACAAAACAAAGCAAAACAACAAAAAACTGTAGAAACGTTTCGTCTCTCATCCTGAGGACTTCCTCAGTCTGAGGTGCTGTATTCAGCTCAGTCTCTTAAATAGCACCTTCTCAGAGTGGATCAACCAGTTTGTTGCTGACAACCAGAACCAGCTGATCACATGCTCAAGAAGGACCATCAGCCTAACAATGGATCATTAGCACCTGATGGCTGTTTACTGTTCACAGAGGGCTGAGTGATACTAGCAATCACAGCATTGTAAGAGGGGGACAGTTGAACACGGAGGCTCCACCCCTGTTTAATGATGGACGATTTCTTTTCACAAAGATGGCCTCCTTTACTCCTCTCTCAAACCATCGTTCCTCTCTGTCCAGGATGTGAACATCTTCATCCTTGAAAGAGTGACCTCTGACCTGGAGATGAGTGTAGACCACAGAGTCCTGGCCTGATGATGTTGATCTTCTGTGCTGGGCCATCCTTTTGGCCAGTGGCTGTTTAGTTTCCCCGATGTAAGACTGATCACCCTCCTGACACTGAACAACATACACAACATTAGTCTGTGCCGGGGGACTGGCTCTTTGGGATGAACCAGTCTTTAATGTATTTTGGGGTTTAAAAGCCACTGGGACGTTATGTTTAGAAAATAAACGTCTCAGTTTCTCTGATACCCCCTCAACATACGGAATGACCACTGGTCTGGGTCTGGGTTCCTCCTTTTCACTTGATGGCTGACTGGAGTCCTGTTTGGGTTTCTTCTCTGCTTTCAGGAAGGCCATTTGCAAACTGGGGTGTACCACAAACCCACCCACACAGACCAGTATTTGCAGTTTGACTCCCATCACCCTTTGGAGCACAAGTTAGGAGTCATCAGGACTCTGTACCACAGAGCAGACAGCATCCCCACTAGCTCAGGAGCCAGGCAGAAGGAGAAATCCCACACGAGACAGGCTCTAGAGCAATGTGGATATCCTAACTGGGCCTTCCTAAAAGCAGAGAAGAAACCCAAACAGGACTCCAGTCAGCCAA